AGTCATCAATCTGACACAAAGGTCCCCAAAGCAGCTACGTGCTAGGTGCGGTTGACGGGTGTTACGCAAGGTACCAAAAGGGAAAAGCAAGTCAAAAGATTGTTTGGAGTTGGTGGGCTTGCATTTATATAAGGATTACTTGGACTGGTGAGAGATGGATAACCCCTTGGATGAGAAAGGGTTGAGTGTGTGAGTTGTTCAAAGGTGGTGGTTGATATCAATAGGAGCTACATGATTTCTGTCAGCTGGGAAGACTACGGTAATACTCTGATGTGATGAACAGTACTTACAGCTGCTAACTTTTCATCTAAAAAAATGAGACTAGGATGGTCAAAACATCCTGAGGTCTTGTGCAATCATTGTGTAATAGTGCATGGAGCAAAACCACAAGTGTTGCATCAAAACACCAGTTCCTATAAGATTCTTTGAAGAATATTCCACAATGTGCCAAGCCAAAGTGATTTGTCAATGGGAGACAGTCTGCTTTCTTTAAAGAAAAAACCCACAACGTCCCTTTTATAATTGGACAGATTATTAGAATAGCCAGCTTATTCCCCTGAAAGAGCTGGTAACAGCTGAGTTAAGTTTCTGGTTTGCTGCTTTAAGACCCAGTGTGGCTTCTCAGTAGTCTTTGTGGCCCAACCGATCCATACAGTGGCCCTTCTTGTCAGGTGGAGTGGAAAATGATTTATTCTCAGCAGAGGAGGTAACAATAAATGAATAAGGTATGGATGTTTTGACAAAAAGTAGCAAGACCCATCCTGTAAAAGTTTTCTAGGTTGCAGGAGGTGACAGAAGTAGAAATCTGTGCTATGTTGATTTTATGCTCGTTAACAGAAAAGCAAGCAGTGGTAGTGCAATAAGAGTGTTGCTTTGAGTATGAACCGGCAATAAGACAGGATCTTCATTCTGTAACTCCTCATGGTGATATAGTACTTTAAGGTGCTTTGCCATATGAATCAGGAGCTTGCAGGGGTAGTGGGGTTATTGGCAACTACAAGTGGATCTGAGGAAGATCTGATGTGGGTTGGCAAGGCAATGGATCTAACTGAGCCTGCATCAAACTGTTCCCTCATTTGCATCCCCTTCATCCAAATCAATCCCCCAGTGCATATTCTTCATCCTTTTTACAACATAGGATGCTGAATGTATCAGTTCACCCTACGGTCAGTCATATTTACAGCAAAGGGTGATCCTGTATTTGTCATGAATGGTGTCCCTAACTACATTCAGGAAAGAGTGCAGTCCTTTGTAGTAGCTGAGGAAGTATTAGCAATTATTCACGTCTTTGAAATATATAGACTATATGAAATACCATATGCACTATGAGCCAAAAAAATAAAGTACTAGAGATTGAGACCGCGTGGCCTCTCAGATTCCATATGATTCGCTATACTGGTTAAGGTAGATGGAACATGCAATTCAGCCAACATCTGGAGAGATGCATACTCCTCACCCTTGCTGCATAATGGGAAGAAAAGAGGAAGAGGGCAGGAAAGAGAGAACAGGAAAGAGAAAAGCTGGCAGGAAAAGAGAAAGGGATGGCCAAAAGAAAATGACTTGTCCATCACCAGCTCTAGCCACACATAACTCAACCTTTCATGTGACAGATAAACTAAAACGTTATCAAAGCAGTTCATCACATCACAAACCTGCAGGAAACAGAGTCAGATAAGCCCATGATCATGGAACCACTGAGAAAGACACAAAGAAAGTCACTTCCTTGCTGGCAGACATTAAGCTAATTTCTTATTTATGAAACGTAAAATAAATGCACCATTTCAAGTATTATGACACACTACATTATCTGAGTAAATGTTGACATTAATGGCAATTAAAGTGATGTTTAATTAGTCAACCATAGTGACTTGAAAGAGTGAGGAATTTCAAATAAGTAGTAAGTATAAAGTCTGAAAACTGAAAACAAGAGGAAAGGAGGAAATTCCGCTTGGGACCAAAGTCTCCGTTATAAGAAAGGAAACACAATGAATTCAGTTTATCTCCCATCATTTTTCCAAATGGGAAATACTGGCAGGATTTACTGTGCTACTTGGTGTGCTACTGTTTCATTTGCTAAGACCTCACACAACAATAACATGTATGACATTATTAGGTTTTATCAGTGAGCCTGATGGTGGCCTTTTAAAACTTTGATTGTTTGTTTACGTGTGTGTGTGTGTATGTTTGTGTTTTGCAACTGACCACCTTGCTCTTTAAAGGTATTTACTTATTTTTATTATTATTTGGTATACATCTTCACTATATATTTTTCATATTCTGTCACTTGATTGCTTCCAGCCACTCCTCCTCCTCCTCCTCCTCCTCCTCCTCCTCTTCTTCTTCAATTGTTGCTTCTGCAGCTTCTTGCCCCTTCCCTCTTTTTAGGCCCTCCCCATAGTCTTCTGTGCAGCTTCTCTGTGCTACTTCTCTTCTGAACTTTCCTTCTTCCATGCACCCCACACATTACCACCCCTCACCATTGCCTGTTTAGCCGCTGTCACCGCTGTCTTGGCCACCTGCTCCATCCTCAACTGACACCGTTGCTAGGTCTTCACCCCTCGGGAACAAAAGAGAATTTTGCGATGGCCAGCAAACAGTTTTAAATCCCATAATAGATCGGACAGGACAGCCCAGGGAAGAATGGTTACTGCCAGAAAAGGTGCCCACGACTTTGTCCAACCCTGAAGCTACCAACAACCCCAAGAGGTGAGTTTTGGATCAGCACTTATCATACAGAGCTCCTTCTCAACAGAAGAGACAGGCTGGCATGTGCAAATTAATTAAAGGAGAAGCTTCAGAGGATTAGGGCTGGGTCATGTCCAAAGCTTATCGGACAAGAAACAAAACCAAAAAAAAGAGGAAAAAATGAAGAAGATAAAAACACTAAAGTTTTTAATTCTTGAGTCTGAAGGAGGGGGTCTGAAAACTCACATTAAAATAATCTTTAAGGTGCCACAACGTTTTTGTCTTCTTTATTTTTTGTTTTTCTTTCATTTTGTTTCTTGTCTGATGTGCATGCACAGACTAACACAGCTACAACTTCAAAAACTGTCCAAAGCTCTTGTTATCAACTGCATGCTGAATGGATAGAGGGAAGGAGGTAGTGAAGAAATAATAAATGCAGTTATAACCTTAAACATAACTTCAAGGACTTCAGCAGTTGAACAGTCAAAATATGTCATATCTGTGACTTTTGAAAAACTTGAGTTGTAGATTTTTTTTTTAAAAAAAACTTGAGCAAAAGTAATTGGATGCTTGACAATTACCTGACATTACCAATGTTCTACGATTTTGAAGCTGAAGAATGAAAATTACAACATCTCAAAAGCTTTGATCATGTTGTATTCTATTTATAAAGGAAATGACTAAAGGAATTCTATTATAGGGGGAAACAGATGCTGTTCTACAGTAAACACCTGTACTTAAGACCTAATTGACCCCTCAAAGATGGTAGGAAAGCAAGCAGTCACAAGTTGAGTTCTTTTTTCCAATATGTGTAATGTTATAAATTGGGATTTCACTAGTAAAAATATTTTATATGCCTTAAATAAGGTAAGAATTTTCACAAAAATAAAAATAAATAGAACACAGATAGAGTACATGGTTTTAGAAACCTTCATGCAACTTATAAGAAAATGCTCAAAACTGAATGTGACCATCTGAACTTAGCAACAAGCACATTCCTTTTGATCCACAACCCATGTGCCACACTGAGTCAGCTGACTCAGTCTTCTGGCTCACCCAGTATAGCCAATCAACAGGCTGCCAGTCACAGATACAAATACAAGCTTTTCACATGAGCAGGACATACCATCTACTATCAAAAAAATCCCCACAAATGTTGTAAGCAGAGAGTCAACTGTAGTTTTGAATAACTACATACACCTACAGATATATCCGACTTTCCCACACAGATTCAAACCCAAAGATCAATTATACAGAATATATTCAAGCTAGTATTTATCATATCAAATAGTACCGACTGGAATAATTTATCAGGATTTTTGTCCATTGTAAATCAAATAATAGTTTGCATAACCTGTGCAGGGGAAGCCCAGACAGGAGGAAAAATCTATAATCTCTTCCTTATTTATCTGTTACTAAGGGCTTCTCATTTTCCTAAATCAGCCTGTTTCCACAATCTGAATAGTGTGCTGCCCATTTGTAAATCTGATCACCTGCACTCAGCTGTTAGCCATATACAACACTGTTCAAATGATGAAGGAGCTTGAAAGGCTTCCAAGAGTCATCAAGTCCAAAATTTTTAGTTCCTAGTCCGGTGTGGCTGACTCCCAGTTTGAAGCCACACGTTGATCCTGATTGTGGGTAAACAGGTTCCAGAGTGTGCCATTCTTCTAGCCTCAGAAATCTCTAGGAAACTCACTTGTTGTGGAGTTATAAGTGAGCAAAAGATCTCCAGCCTGAAAAAGCTTTACCATTGCTTTTCTTTTCTCTCTCTCTTTTTGCTAGAACAAAATGAATCTCATTTTTGGACAAAACACTTTCGTGGGAGTGTAGCTGAATTATTTCTATCTTTGGCCCAATATATTTAAATTTTGGACCACTTAGTGCCTATGCACTGTATCCAACCCTGTATTATCGTCAAGTCCATAAATATAATTTTTATAGATGTAAATCTAACATAGAAATCCTAAAATTCTTTAACATTTTGGTTTTTTATCTGAACCAGTGGTATTTAGACATACGAGCAAGACACACTTTCACCTATGGTAGCATCATAAGTCCCCAGAAGGCAATGTGCCCTTAGTCAAATTAACACATGAGAAAGAAGGAAGAAAAACAAAGCTGAAAAACATGAAAGGGAAACAGAGATAACACTTGCAATTCAGAAAACAACTCAAGTCTATTCCCAGGTAAATTACTATAGAACTACTGTACAGCTTACATTTTATTATTTGCAAGATATTGGGGGGGAGGAGATCACCCAAACACTCAATTAAATATTGTGTTCAGCCATTTAAAGGCAGTTTATGGCTTACCTCTGATGAATTCTTTGCAGCAATATTAAGTGCTGGTGTTTCTTGGACTACCTCTGTTTTGCTGGGTGTCTGCTCGGGCTGACTTTGCTCTGTTGCCGGTAATGCCTTAGGGACGAAATCTGTCACAGAAAGATTTTTTTTAGAAAATATATATATTTGGTAAAAATATAAAAAGGAGACATGTTAAATTTCCTCGGGTTAATTGAGCAAAATATGCCTCTAAAGTCTTGTTCAGTCCATTAATTACAATGCTACCTGCAGTGGCTGGATCTGAATGCCAAATACTGTTTAATTTTCTCTGAGAGTTGACAAACCCTGACAGAAGTCTCTTATTCTTAACTGCTAATTCTGTTTATGTTCTCAATTTACAGAGAAGTCTTTCTTTCTTTTTGAAGTGGGAGAAATTAACATAAAGAGCCAACAGTTCTGCTTATTTATGTGAAAGTAATATAGAGAAAACCAGATAATATTAGGGGGTAGTACTGCCTGTTTTTGCCACCAGGTCTTCCAATTAGTATTTAAAGTGTTATTACTGCAGCACAGTAGTCATGCATTTTGCATTATGAGCTTCTAAAAATGAATTCAGAGATCATTTGAAAGATAATGAAAATGCTTTAAGACCATAGCCTTCTACAAATACTGTAGAAGCATTTAGCAATAAATGAATGAATGCTGCTGTTACTTTTTTATTTTAGTTACTGCTGTTTCAGATCCTATTGATACGTGTGTTCTCATGCTTTATGTTTTAATAAACAGTTTGTGCAAATTGGTATATTTGTTTTCCTGTCTAATGTTGTAATTTCTTTACAACAAAAAGACAGTTTATACATTCCGAATCAGCTCTAATCTCTCAGACGTGGATCAACGCATCATTCTTAGATTGTTCTGCTCTTGTTGTGACACTGAGACATGCTTTGTAAGGGCGTCAGGGCCAACTAGAACCAAGACTTGTTGCTTTGACACCAAGCCGCACATGGAGCCTCCTGCCCCCACTCCAGGCAGTCATCCAAATCAAAGTGCAGAGTAACCCAAAACAGCTCAGTTAGTTTGGCAGAAAATTCCACAAACACATATCCCGTGCTTAGCAGTAAATATAAAATAATAATAAATTAGGGACTAACTATTTTCTGTCACAAGAGCCCACAGCTCTTGCCTGAGGCATTCACTTCACTCTGCCTAATGGTATGGCTGGCTTTGGAGAATGCACTCTTCCTTTAAAAATAACAAGAGTTCTAGGTAGAGAAGATGTCCCCTCAGACTAATTCAGCACCAGCTCATACAACAGATTACTTCTGCTCAGGATCAACAGGAGTGTTTGCCTGAACAGCTAAAGCTGTTAATGGCAACATGCATGCGGCATTAATTCACTCAGCAGAAAGTTCTAAGTCAAAAAAAGCAAAATAAATCTTTGCTTTTGCACCACTCAGCAGAAAGTTCTAAGTCAAAAAAAAGCAAAATAAATCCTTGCTTTCACACTACAGTATTTCATCCAGATTTGTAATCCTTTATGCCCTCCATTTTTTGCACAGAAGCCAGATAATACTTCATGTCCACTATCCTCACCCCCCTTTCTAGATTAATTTGTGGGTATTATTTATTTAGGTCCTAGTGCAATGTTGGACTGGCAAGTCATTTTTTTTAAAGATACAGTGGTGCCTCACAAAACAAAAGCCTCACAGGACAAAAAACTCGCAAGACAAATGGTTTTGGCAAAGGGGGTTGATGACTCACAAGACAAATGTTCCTATGGCCATGCTTCGCAAGACAAATGTTTTCCGTTTTTTGTTCCTGCCTCATGTTTGCTGATTTTTAAATGTTTTTCTATGATGTTTAGAAAGATACAGTTTTTTGATTGAAATTTTGGAAATCATCTGCACAATATGTATGGCTTTAAAGAGCACTTTATAAACCCTTTGTAAACCAAATTTGACTTTGTTCTGACTTTTTTTGCCCATAGAAATGCATTAATTAGATTTTAATGCATTCCTATGGGAAAACGCATTTCACAAGACAACATTAACCATCTTGCGAGGCACCACTGTACTCTTCCTTGTGACTTCTGTTTAATTCATTAGTTCTTGACTGAGACATGTTGCTGTTAATCCTGTCAAATCACTTCAGGTTCACAGTGCTCCTACAAACTAATGAACTCTAGACAGTCCTATCATTAATAGTCCTGTTCAGGTCTTGCAGATTGAAAGCATGGTTTTCTCCAGTCAAACCATCTAGCGTACCTTGTTTAAGGTTTTCCTCTTTTCCTCTTGGCTTTCATTTTCCCTATATTATTGTAACCTGTTTCCCCCAAAATAAGACAGGGTCTTAAAGTATATTAATTTGTGCTCCAAAAATGCAGTAGGGCTTATTTTCAGGGGATGTTTTTTTTTTCATGTTTATTCAAATACTGTAGAGTCATATCATCTTCTGGTTGCTGCGCAATGGTGGAGGGTGGAGTTTCAATTAACTAGGGCTTATTTTTTGGGTAGGGCTTATATTACGAGCATCCTGAAAAATCGTACTAGGGCTTATTTTCAGGTTAGGACTTATTTTCGGGGAAACAGGGTACAGTATTTACAATTTATGTCTTCTCATATGTCCAAAGTAGGGTAGCATTGCTGTAGTCTTTTTAGTTTCTAATGACAAATCATGCTTGATTTTATCTAGAAACCATTTATTTGTCTTCCTGGCAGTTCATGGTATACCTAAAGCTCTCTTCCAACACCACATTAAGGATTATTTTTTTTCCGTCAGGTTTCTTTATTGTCTAGCTTTTACATCAAGAATACCACATTATCTATTTCCCAGCAACACATCCTTCGACATAAGAATTTTTTCTAGTTCCTTCGTAGCTATTATTTCAAACCTCTGTCTTCTGATTTCTTGGCCATGGTCTCTTTTTTATTAATACTTCAACAAAAGTATATAAAATACTTAACAATTTCAATTTCTTCGCTGCCAACAATAAAGTTGTGTAATTCTTCTGAAGTCAATATTTTCTCTTCTAAATGTTCAACTGTAATTGTTCTTTTCTACTTTCTTCTTTAATCTTTATCACTAGTCAAGTTACTGATGTTTTCTCACAATAAGATGGTATCTTCTGTGAATCTTAAATTAGTGATGTTTTTTCCACCAATGTCCACTCCATCTGAATTTCACCTAGTTTTCTGTGCAATATGTTCTGCACATAGATTGAACATATATGGAGTTAAAATGCATCCCTGTCTAACACTTTTACCTATGGGAAACTGAACATATATGGAGTTAAAATGCATCCCTAACACTTTTACCTATGGAAAAAGCTTCTGTTTCTCCATAATTAGTACTAACAGTAGCATCTTAATCTGGAGTGTATCTTATACATCACTTAAGAAGCAATTAATATAATTCTGTGAAGCCAGCAATTTGCATATTGGGAATACAGAGTTCAAGCTATATAACAGATGATTGTATACATGGATGTTACTCAATGACCATTTCAGAAATTAAATAGACTAAATAACTGAAACCAAAAGATCAAGAAATTCTATTCTTTCTGCAAAAACAAGCCAAGGAATGGACTATTCTAATGACCATGAACTATAAATATAAAAAATGAGAGTAAAGCCGAAGAAGGACACTAAAATAATTGTAGTCCCAAATATGCTTTAAGTAGAGAAAGATTTTAAAGACCATATAAGTAACAGATTTGCATTACTAAACTCAAATGACAGTGAAACAGAAGAACTGTGAAATGGAACCAGATATATTATCAAAGAAATATGCAAAATACTATTCCTGTGATCAAAGGAAAATAAAATTCCTGATTGCTAGAAGACTGTAATCATTTTCAGCATTAGCCCTTCATGCATCACATAGACTTCAACGCTTGACTGTCAATTTGGACTGTTGTAGGCTGCTTCTTCTCTGCTCTGTGAGATTGGTAGGTACAAGATTTATGGCAGATTCCACTCAATTGCTTCTTGAACCTTACCTATCACTATCTGATGTTTGGCCTCAACTGTGTGCTAACTATTTAACACTCCTGTTTACCGACACTTGGTACCTTTTTCATTGTTGTTTAGTCGTTAAGTCATGTCCGACTCTTCATGACCCTATGGATCAGAGCACGCCAGGCCCTCCTGTCTTCCACTGCCTCCGGAGTTGGGTCAAATTCATGTTGGTAGCTTTGATGACACTGTCCAACCATCTCATCCTCTGTCGTCCCCGTCTCCTCTTGCCCTCAGACTTTCCCAACATCAGGGTCTTTTCCAAGGAGTCTTCTCTTCTCATGAGATGGCCAAAGTATTGGAGCCTCAGCTTCAGGATCCGTCCTTCCAGCGAGCACTCAGAGTTGATTTCCTTCCAAATGGATAGGTTTGTTCCCCTTGCAGTCCAGGGGACTCTCAAGAGGCTCCTCCAGCACCACAATTTTAAAACATCAATTCTTCAGAAGTCAGCCTTCTTTATGGTCCAGCTTTGATATCCATACACCGCTACTGGAAAAACTATAGCTTTGACTATGCAGACCTTTGTCGGCAAGGTGATGTCTCTGCTTTTTAAGATACTGTCTAGGTTTGTCATCACTTTCCTCCAAAGAAGCAGGCGTCTTTTAATTGCATGCTTGCATCTACAGTGATCAGGGAGCCCAAGAAAGTAAAATCTGTCACTGCCTCCATATCTTCCCCTTCTATTTGCTAGGAGGTGATGGGACCAGTGGTGATGATCTTAGTTTTTTTGATGTTGAGCTTCAGACCATTTTTCGCTCTCCTCTTTGATCCTCATTAAGAGATTCTTTAATTCCTGCTCAGTTTCTGCCATCAGAGTGGTATCATCTGCATATCTGAGGTTGTTGATATTTCTTTCAGCAATCTTAATTCCGGCTTGAGATTCATCCAGTCCTGCCTTTTGCATGATGTATTCTGTTAAATAAGCAGGGAGACAATATACAGCCTTGTCATACTCCTTTCCCAATTTTGAACCAATCAGTTGTTCCATATCCAGTTCTAACTGTTGCTTCCTGTCCCACATATAGATTTGCCAGGAGGTAAATAAGGTGGTCAGGCACTACCATTTCTTTAAGGACTTGCCATAGTTTGCTGTGGTCCACATAGTCAAAGGCTTTTGCAGAGTCAATGAAGCAGAA